AAAACAAGTTAAAGGGAGAGCCAAAAATATGCCCTTGAGAATATCCCATGTGAAGAACCAAATTGATGCATTAGACACTAATAACCGAAGACCAGAGTAGCTGTGGAAGAACATCAAGAACATCATACACGAAAAATAAAAAAGTCATGAAAAACACAGAAAATAAAAAAAGATAAAAATGAACTTCAGAAGAGACTCTGAAATTTGTTCTTGAATGCAGAGAAACTAAAGTGACTAGAAGAAATGAGGAAGTGAAAGAAGTGAACATGTAACTTCAAAGGGCAGCTTTTCAGAAGAGAAAGAAAAGGAACTATGCAAAGACTCAGGGTAAGATAACCAAGAGCGGAAAACACACTCACCATTTCACAAGATTAAAGAACTGATGAAAAATTTCAAGTCTCAACTACAATATTGAAACATTCTATACAGGCAAAAATAAAGATGAAGATCAAAGATCACAGCTTTCGGTATGGGTTGCACCTTAACGTAAGGAAAACAAAACTCCTCATCACTAGAGCAATAAATAACATCAAGACAAATGGAGAAAAGATTGAAGTTGTCAAAGACTTCATTTTGCTCAAATCAGCAATTAACACTCATGGAAGCAGTACTAGAGAAATCAAACAACGTATTGCGTTAGACAAATCTGCTATACAAGATCTCTGTAAAGAGTTGAAGAGCAAAGATGTCAGTTTGAGGACTAAGGTTTGCCTGAGTCAAGCTATGGTATTTTCAATAACCTCATATGATTGTGAAAGTTGGAAAATGAAAAAAAAAAGACTGTAGAAGAAATGATGTATTTGAGTTATGATATTGGAGGAGAATAGTAAAATTACCATGGACTGCTAAAAGAACAAAGCAAGAAGTATGGGCAGGATTCTCCCTGGAAGCCAGGATGGACAGAATTCGTCTCATACTTCAGACATATTGTCAGGAGGGAACAGTCTCTGGAGAAAGATATCATTTTTGATAAAATGATGGGCAGATAAAAAGAGGAAGACCCAAAATGAGATGGATTAGCACTGTGGCAATAGCAACCTGTGAGGTTGGTGCAGGACCAAGCAGTGCTTCATTCTATTTTGCATAGGATCACTGAGTTGGTACCTAACAACAAAAACAGCAGCAGGCAAAATATTGAATGACACAAGAAGCATCAAAAGAAGATGGAAGGAATACACACAGTCGTGGTACCAATGAGAACTGGTAAATGTCCAGGAGTTTCAGGAGGAATTGCTGAAATACAAATTGAAAAACATTTCAACAGACTGTTGCATCCCTAGAGGCACTTATTCACCTGTGTCATGAAATTTGGAAGGCAGCTACCTGGACAACCAATTTGAAGACATCCATATTTGTGACCATTCCAAAGAAAGATGACCTGATGAAATTTAGAAATCATCAAGGAATATCATAAATATTACATGTAAACAAAATTTTGCTGAAGAAAATTGAAAAACAGTTGCAGTAGTATATTGACAAGGAGCTACCAATCAAGCTAGATTCAGAAGAGATTGTGGAACAAGGGATATCATTACTGACATCAGATGGATCTTCACAGAAAGCAGAGAATACCAGAAAGATGTTTTGTACTTGTTGTTGTGTGGAGTTCGTTCTGATTCATTAAAACCCTTTTAGGATTTTTGAGGCTTTAAATCTTCATAGGAATAGAGAACCTCATCTTTCTCCCTTGGAGTGACTAGCAGGTTCAAAACACTGATCTTGTAGTTCATGGTTCAGCTTACTTGCACCTTATTGACCATGCAAAAGCTTTTGACTGTATGGATCATGATAAACTATGGATAATGTTACAAAGAATAGGTATTCCACAACACTTAATTGTGCTGATGGAGAACCTGTCCGTTGTTGTTGTTAGGTGCCATTGAGTTGGTACTGACTCATAGCAGCCCTGTCTAGGATTTCTGAGGAGCAGCTGGTGAGCTTGAACTGCCGTCCTTGTAATTCAAATGGCTTTGCAGTCTGGTGAATTAACCCACAGTGCCACACCATATTAGGTTATTAAAAATACCATGGCTTGGGTCAGGCACACCTTAGTTCTCAAGCTGACATCTTTGCTCTTCAACACTTTAAAAAGGTCTTGTGCAGCAGATTTGCCTATTGCAATACGCCATTTGATTTTTTTGACTGCTGCTTCCTCCATTGATAAGAATGTTGTTTATTGATCCATTGGTGAGGATTTTTGTTTTCTTTACATTGAGATGTAATCCATACTGAAGCCTGTGCTCTTTGATCTTCATCAGTAAATATTTTAAGTCCTCTTCACTTTCAGCAAGCAAGGTTGTATCATCTGTATATCGCGGGTTGTTAATGAGCATAGAGGTTATGAGATGGGCTGCTAATCTCATTGTCAGCAGTTGAAACTACCAGCAGAGGCTTGCTGCTCTTGTAAAGATTTACAGCCTCAGAAACCCTATGCAGTGTCACTATGAGTTGAAACTGACTCCATGGCACACAGCCACTACCATTGTATGCATTGAACTTGTCCGTAAATGATAAAAAATCATGAATGTGTGTGTGCCGGGGTTATATTTTTTCACTATATTTGTTCAATCTACATGCTGAACAAATAACCTAAGAATCTGGAGTATATGAAGAAGAGTGTGTAATCAGGATTGTAGGAATATTCTTTAGCAATATGTAAATGAAACAACATTGTTTGCTGGAAGCAAAGAGAACTTAAAATACTTGCCAATGAAGACAAAGACCACAGCCTTCAGTATGAGTTACATCTCAATGTAAAGAAAACAAAGTCTCACCACTGGACCAATAAACAACATGCATATAAATTGAGAAAAGAATAAAGTTGTCAAAGACTCCATTTTGCTTGAATCTACTATCAACATTCACGGAAGCAGCAGTCAAGAAATCAAATGACTAATTATCATCTTAGCAAATTTGATGTTTTATGGTCATTTACACAGGTTTCTAGAAGGAGGGAATGAAGATGAGTTCCGGTTAATCTGCCATGTATTGTTGTTAGGTGCCATTGAATCAGTACTGACTCATAGCGACTTTGTGCAGAGCAGAATGAAACACTGCCTGATCCTGGGGCAACCTCACTACTGTTGCCATGCTTGAACCCATTGATGCTGCCACTCTGCCAATCCATCTCACTGGGGGTTATCCTCTTTTTCTCCGACCCTCCACCTGATATCCTTCTCCTTTGACTGGTCCCTCTAAATACTCTCTACCTTAAATATATCAGAATAAAGAAAATAGAGTATATTTATATCAAAGACTGCTTTTGCATATTTATGCAAGAATACCTATTTAATGTCAAAATTTGTTTTGAAATTATGTACTTTAAAATGTAAGTGATGTTTATAGGCTGATAATATTTGAATCTGTAGATTTTCATTAGTCGTCAGCACTCATCAGTTGTGTATTTTAAAGTTATGTGATTATAACTTTCAGTGTAGAGTTGAGGGTTTAGACAATGTATAAGAAAGAAATTAATACTGACTAGAATAAAATGAGTAGTATTTTTCCTAATGATTGCTATTATATCCCCAAATTTGGTCCTTCTATTTTCTGTGTTCTTTTCTGATTCTTTTCCATATTTTTCTTGTTACCCTCTATTTAAAAATTTTTGTTATTGTACTTAGTATTTTATATATGTTCATCATCATCTTTGCATATTTGTTGTTCTGTATTTTTTTCTGAACACATCCTTATTACGAACTTCAAATTCCCTTCATTATACACTTTTAACAAATTCCTTTACCCTAATTTTGAACCTCTTTCCACTAATTTAAAACATGCTTTTAAAAATTATTGTTTCTGAGTTTCATCTTTTCAAAACAGTAGCTCTTTAATAAACTATAATTATGGACTAAAAGTTTATGATTTTTCATAAGCACAGTGACTGTATTGTCTCAAGCTAAATATAGGGCATTTTACTTGCCTCAGAAAGACTCCTGTTATTGAATATATTCATCTTTTGTTTCTGTCTAAATTGGCTTTTTTCCTACTTTAAAATTTCCTTCTTTTCATTCTATAGATACATTCTTTATTTCAGAAAATGAATATCATAAAAAAGGAAGACAGTGTGAAACCGTGACAGCATTTATTTTACATTATCTTGACTGTTGTTAAGATTATTAAGATAAACTCCTTCTAAACAATGTTTATTTCTTCTTACTAGAAATTAACACTATTAAAAAACAGAAGCAGCTTTAGCAAAGTTCACATGAAAAAATTTCAGATTGGCACTACAACAGATTGGGTTTTGGAAATTCATAAAACATATGCTGTGATTTCAATGTTGAGAGGATGATGATTTTGACTGTAAGTGTTAGTCTGCAGTATAACAAAATACATAGATGGGAGACACTATTTAATGTAAAAATCACAATTTTAGCCTTAACAGAACTGGTACAATTCCTGTTTTTAGCATTATGGTTAAGTGCAAGGTATTTTTGTTCATTGAGCCTCAGTTTTATGGACAGTAAAATAGGAATTTATAGCTGGATACTATTACCATGATTAAACAAACTTCTATACACAGAGTATTTAACATAGTACCTGGCACATAGTGAGCATTCAAAGAATGGGTGCTAATATTATTGTCAGGTATTTCAAACATACTTGATCAAAATGAATGAAACCATACATATCAAAGATAAAATTAACTCAAATTAACACCAAAATCGGTAGAACTGCAAATGCTTACACATTGGTAAAATGAGAACAAGTTAACATTTATGCTTAGAGAAGGTGACACAATAAATTTCTAATATTTATAGATGAAAACTGTAGGAGTTGTGGAAGCAACACACTCTCCTTTTCAAGTAAAAAAAAAAAAAAGATTTTCAGAAGTGTATTAATCTAGTCACTATACTAGCCATCTTTTACTTGTACTCAAAAGAATCGCTTATTCAACATATATTCTTTGATTGTCTATTACGTGCCAGTCTATGTTTATCTACTATGCAAAAGGAAGTACACGCTTTCTATGTTCTGAATCCTTTCCTTTTCCGCAGACGTTTCCACTGGGCCTAGGAGATGGGCAATTCTATGCCTGGACAAATGGTTTGAGAAGAAAGGACTGGCATGACTATGAAAGCATGCAGAAAGAGGCTTTGCGATCAGGTATGAAGTTCAGTGTAAACCAAAAGTGCTACTTATCTCCTTCAGTATCTCATTACTACTTAAAGGAACTCTAATCAGTTTTTCTTCACTACAAAGTAAGGTATGTCTATGTCTCATGGGGGCTATTGGAGGTAAACACTGGACAGAACAAAAACAACTTCAAATTTCAAAGAGAAAACAAATAATTAGTAACGTTTACAGTATTAACTAAGGAGCTCTGGTAGCGTAGTGGTTACGAATCAGGTTGCTAACCTCAAGGTCGGCAGTTCGAAACTACCAGCTGTTCCGCGGGAGAAAGATAAGGCTTTCTGCTCCATAAAGATTTACAGCCTCGGAAACCCTGTGCAGGGTCACTATGAGTCGGAACTGACTCCACAGTACTTAACAACAACAACAACAACAACAGTATTAACTGCCAAAGGATTATTGACATTTTGTTGTTGTTGTTGTTAAGTGTCATCGAGTTGATTCCAACCCATAGCGACCTTATATAGGGTTTCCGAGGAGCAGATGGTGAGCTTGAATCTCTGACCTTGCAGTTCAAAGGGCTTTGCAGTCTGGCGCATTAACCCACAGCTTAAGACTGTCTAAATGGTCTTTAAATAATTCCTGGGATTATTTTTGAAAGATTTATCAGTGACACATGGTACTCGCAACATGCATCTGGAGCTAGACTCACTCGTTAGGGCGTATTGTTGTTTTTGTTAAGTGTAGTCCAGTCGGTTCCCACTCATAGTAACCCTTTATAGAGTTTCAAAGATGTCAGATCTTTGCAGGAGCAAAAAGCCTCATCTTTACCCTGTGGAGTAGCTGGTGGGCTTGAACCACAGACTGTCTGGTTTGCAGTTCAGTGCTTATCATATGGAGCCATGGTGCTTCTCCATTTGGGCTTATGTATGTCTATTTGACAAGCAGTTTTCAACAAAATTGATAATAGGAAATTTCTCAGGGATGTCTTCTATATATGGGCAATGGGGCACAGAAAGTTGGGGGATCACAAGTGCTGAGATCCATCAAGCACATTTGAATATGCAAGCTGGAAACTAAATAAAACCAGGTATGTCTACATGTGTAGATTTAGGCTTCAGCAAGATTTACAGGAAACATTTTACTTCTTGGAAAAAGTATTAAGAAAGAATAAGTTCTTTATAGAAGGACTGAAAAATTAGGCTGATGGAAAAAGGGATGGAGAAAGTTGTATAAGTAAAAATTCATTGTACCCGAGCATTATATGATAAGAAGTACATATTCTGTTATTTGGCAAAAGGAGCTCTGCTTTTTCATAGTGAAGTTGTCACAGAATTATAAAAACTATTGTTGGGTGACGCATGTGAACAGCACTGACTCACAACATTCTTAGCCAAATCAGCAGCCGAAGTGAATCTTGTCCAGCACTTAAGACATCATATCTCAGCTGTCCTCAAAACACATCCCCTCTGATAACTGTGGTGACGGTGTTTATACTTGGATGAAATTGTTATAGTTTGTGAAATGTTTTTAGGTTAAGTGTGTGGTTGATCTACTTACAGTCTTCTATCTTTTCCTTTTTTTTCTTTTCTGCCAATGAAGCAAATCCTTCATGAAAACGTCTTGTTCCAAGGATATTCTTGATTCTGCAGAGCATTAATCTCTTTCAATTTCAGCAAACTTCCTCTATGAATGGTCACATTAGTGAGTTCCTTTCCAGTATCTTTAATTTCCTCTTATTTCTTTCCTCTATATGCTTGGTCAAACATATAATAATTCAACCATATCTTCCTATTTCTGACCACAGAATACTGAATACTGACTTTTTGGAGATGTTCACCTAATTTATTAATTGAAGCTACTACATGTTAACAAACAAATTATATATAT